TCTGTTGCTGTTTAGCAGATGAAGAAGGTGAAACCAAAAGTCCCAAAACAGCCCCTTGATGCCACTGCTGTCCGTAGATCGAGCCGTGTTGCCGATTTGCCTCCTCGTAGCTACAAGGAAGTGAGTAGCTAATGGTTTTATGTGTTTGTGTTGTGTCTGTGTGTGAAATTTGAATTTCATTAAGTGTTTTGGTATACTATCATGATGATGTGTCATTGTGTCTTACTTGGAGTTTCAATGGGTTTTTTAGTTTATATGACATTTAAGATGAGAGAAGGGTTTGGAGAGAAAAAAAAAAGAAAAAAAAAGAATTATTTAGATTATAAATGTGGTTCACTTAAGTTTCAAACTCTATGAAGAAAGTCAAAAGATTTTATTGTTTATGTTTTGTATTTCAAGATACAATCAGACAACACTGAGACAAGTCATAGAAGCTTAGAAAATATATTTTGATAGTGTTAATGAATGTATGAGGTTTTTACTGATGTAATCTGCTATCCAAGATTGACCCTTTTTCTTGGCAAAAAAGATCATTTTTAGTTAATAAGAACAAAAATGGAGTAACATAGATTAGTCAACCAAAAAGAGGATAAAAAAAAAAAAATCAAAACCTTGTCACATCTCTTTAATATGCTATCCTTTGGGCTCATCTTGACATGTTGAAAAGCTTGGGGATTGTTCGATAAAAATCCTGAAAGCATCTTATGGTTAAATGATTTTGGATTTTTTTAAATGTCCTTTTTCCATTTTTGATAGGTTCCAATTGAGCCTATGGGGAGGCCGAGGAGGTCCGTAACATAAATTATCATTTAATATTTTGCTAAATTTACCTTTGCTTGGTGTGAACTTGTTTTCTGATTGTTTTCTATGTTGTTTGACTTTCAGCTACGGTAACAGACGAAATTTGTTGAACAGAGTGTACGCCTCGGATGGTGCTAGACTGTATGCCATTCAACGGGCTGAGGATTTGCAGTCGAGATTAGATCAAGACATTCCGAGCTTTATAAAACCGATGCTTCAGTCTCACGTCACTGGTGGATTCTGGCTGGTGAGTTAGGAATATGTATTGAATCCACTATTTACTTCATATTAAGTTAATTGCAGTTAATTATGAATTATAACACTATTTAGATTTGAGACACTTCATTTTTTCTTTTTCTTTTTCTTTTTTAGTCACAAACGGATGAGAAATGTGATGACAGATGACGAAAGTTCATCGATTCTTTAGTATGTAGAAAAACCAGAAAATATTTATTATATGTAAATGCATTCATCATAATGACCAAATGGTGGTGACATAAAATTTTATTACACCAACCCATTAACTAATTACCATTAGGGCAAGGTTTTGGTATGTTTCATATAAAGAAAAAAAGTTGCGACTGATTGCTCAAAATCCTGAGGGAATTTGCTATGATATAATCCTGCCCGAAAAAGATGTAAATGAATGAGAAATCATGAATCGTAATGCATGGTATGTACTTCACACAGCTTCTATTTCGAAGTGGCAAGACTTTACTTTTTTTTTTCTCTTGTTAGACAATAGTTTCCGGCAGTAATGCTAAGGAGCCAATAGCCAATGAGAGTCTCATTGGCTGTTGGCTCCTTAGCATTACTGTAGTTTCTGTTCCTATTAGATCTGTAGAGTGTGGCTATCTTGAAAACTTCCTTTTAGGAAATTATAAAATTAAAATCCACCAGCAACCATTATGTCCATATTTGGAGCATTTCTCATTTATTGCTAGTTCCTTTTTCTTATGCGAAACGAAGATTCAAGAATCTTCCTTTCACAACTGATGCTGTAAGTAAATTAAGTAAATGATAAAAATACAAAATATACAATGTAATCTTTCTCAACAGGGTCTGCCACATCATTTCTGCAAGACATACCTTCCAGAAGCTGAGGCGGTGATGTTCACGCTTATTGATGAAGATGGGAATGAAGCCGAGGCAAAATACCTCGGTCTGAAAAATGGCCTTAGTGGCGGATGGAGGGGTTTTGCCATCGATCACGAGCTGGTCGATGGGGACGCCATTGTTTTTCAGTTAGTCGAGCCCACCACTTTCCGGGTAAAGCTTCTTGTTCTGTTCTGTTTTTGTGTTCTTTTTTTTTTTCCATATTTATATTAGTTTCCACCCCAGAAAGTGTGTATGCTTAGGGCATGCTTGGATACAAATATATCCGTTCAAAAAAATAAGTTTTTTTAGTTAATCAGAATTAATTTCAAAAAATATGGTATGGTAGTTGTTAGTGGAATTTTGAGTTTATATTAAAATAATATTTAAAATAAATTAGTTGAAGTAAATTTGATGTAAAAGTAGGAGAACGATGTTGTAAAATGATGATTAGTCAAAATTATATGAGTGAATGAATAGTGAATTAAAGTTGATGTGATGTGTAAGAATGATTAATTGATATTATTTAATTTTATTGGTAATATTGAGGATAATGAGATTGAATTAAAGTTGAGTTAGATTTTGAATATATGTTAACGTATGAATTGAGAAAGTTTATAAACATACACACCCTTACCCCTTTTTGGTTGCCATGCTCACTGCACATCAAGGCACCATAGATCATATTTTTGAATGGGATATACAATTTTTTGCATGCATGATATTAATATGTTTACAACTTTTTTTCTTTCAGTAGCTAACCAACTTTTGGAAATAATAGCTCTAATCAAACACTTGAAATATATGCAAACTTGTGTTTATTTATGTGTAGTAGCACCTTTTGTTTGACCCGTCACTTGTTATGAATGCAGGTTTACATCGTCAGGGTAAATGAAGAGGGCGATGGCAGTGATTGAGGTTTTTTGATGCGCAGACTTTCAAAATCTCGTCAAATATTAAAAAAACTTAATTGTGTTTTGAGAGCTGTGCTGAAAACTTGGTGTTTTGAATCTTATGCACAGCCAGTTCGAATCTTATTTTGCATCTACTTTTAGTTTTAGCTTTTAGGTTATTGCNCAAAGAAGATGATTGATTTTTCATTGTTTGCCCAAAAGCATTCATTTTTATATTAACTTGCCTATGTTTAATATTTTCTTACAAAAATATATACTTATGCTATGAAATGCCTTCTAATTTTATATTTTAATTTAAAGTAACATTTATTAAAAATGTAAAACTGTATTAACAAAAGGCTTACTGTATAATCAATTATTGTTATGTTGGAGAAATGATCAAAACCGTTGGATCCAAAAACTGATCCGTCATACTGACGATTCCAATTTTTTTCGAAACAGCTATTTTTTTTATACTCCAGTTTTGAATAAGAATTCAAAACTTCAAAACTGGATGACTTGCCGGTCGAGATCAAAGATGATGTACACTGATCTTCGGAGTTTTGAATTTTTTTTCTCGAAGAAGGATAAACCAACATGAATAATATAAAATGCATTGTTAGTCGAGTACCAAAAAAAGGGTACATTGCCTGAGTAAATTGTTTAAAGTTACATGGAGAAAGCAACACGAGATACATTATGGTTTTCTACATTCAATAATCAAAATATGATACAGGCCGCCCAGTACTTTCTAAAAATGTTTAATTTACTATTTGTAAACAGTTCTATCATATATTATTAATTTAGAACCCTTGATTTTTAAGAGCTCACCAGTGATTATATAGTGTAGATAATAATGTAAATGTGCTACAGACAACTGCTCGGCAGCTATCATTTTTATTCTTTTTCTTTTTTTTTTCTTTGGCCAGAAGCTTCATAGCTTTGCGGGATGGTGACTGAATGTGGGATCAATGCAGACAATGACCTACAAATTTATTAATCGGCTTTTCAAACAGTAAGCAAGACAGACCAACATAAAACTAATCGGTCGAAAGGGGTAAAACTGACCTTGCCGACACTCTTGCCAGAGTGGAGATATTCAACAGCATCAGCAACAGAATGAATACCCACGAATGGCTTGGGATCTAAAGCTACCTGTTAAATTTACACGAAGAACAGTTGAGAGAAAATGAATAAATAGAAGTGGCCATGAATGAGTGTGAAGAGTAGTATTATTCACCTTTAGCTTCCCTTTGGAGTACAAATCGACCAACTTATCTAGATGTTCTTGCCAAAACTGAACATATTGGAGTAGGAAAAAGCCAGCCTAAACACGTAAAGTCAGAGCAAAAAATTATAAGACGTCACGCCTCTCTCTTTTTCTGTGTTTGTCTGTGTGTGTGTCTGTGTGTGTTGTTTTGGCTGATGGGTAAAACAATCAATTGCTTGAGGGTACATATCCATTTTGTAATGAAAATGTAATGCATTCATTAGAGTAAAATCAATTTCTGAGGCCCTTTTCTCTCTTTCTATACTTGTCCATCAGTTCCCATCTTAGCGCTCTTT